GTGAATCTAAAACTCTGAGTCTGAATCCTAAATAAAAGTCTGAGTCTGAATATTAAAAATTCAGATTCCGAAAGAATAAATTCTGAATATGAATACTTTTAATATAGTCTGACTCTGAATGCTGTGTCATTTCTTATATTTTTTCATTTTCTTATGTTTTCTTAAATTTTCTTAGGTTTTCTTATGTTTTCTCATGCTTTCGTATTTCTTCTTATGTCTTCTAATTTTTTCTTTCGTCTTTATTCTTATGTTTTCCTTGGTTATATTCTTATACATATTTACATAAAAAACACGAGAAAACAGAATGACGTCAGTGCAAGTGTTCGAAATAGTGGTCAAAGCGAAGTACAGTAGTTATTCAGAGAGAAGTCGAGAAATAGGGAAACATGTCGGCGAGCGATTCATGAATGTCGGACGACCACAGAAAAGAAAGCCAACGTAATTAAACAAGTGATGCAATAATATTATTCTTCAGCAACTCGGACACATCCATTAACAGGAAACCTGGCAAAATTACACCACCGATACGACAGATCGATGCGAAAATACCTGACCTTAAGAGAATTCCTCAATACTAAGTAGCGTCAGCAGAAAGTGCAGCGTAATGCGCGACAGATTCTCCAAGCGAGATCCTCCACTCCATCCGTGCAGCACTGCTTCCCGCGGTAATGCGAGGACGGACGCGGATCGGCGGTCTGCATCGTGCACAGAATCTACGAATGACCAACACAGATGAGGCTGACGGTTGGCGATTGAGGATCCCAGGACTGTCATCAACGTAGTGATTGACAACCGCAACGTTTTGGAGCTGATTCAGAAAAAGTTAATGCAGAGATACTCAATATGTTAGCGGTGTTGGCTTTTTCAAGTTCGCTCTGAGAAACTACTGATCGGTTCCAGTCCCGCGTCCACCGCACTCCACACCGCGCACGCCCAGCCCCCGTCCCCGCTGACCGGCAGTCGCGCCCAGGAGATGCTGCCGCCCACTTCCATACGACTCGTGCCGAAGGCGCAGTCCCATTGGCCCGAGTTTATGCAGCAGCTGCAGCCGGGCCCGGACCAGATAAACGCATCGCACGGCATATTCCCGAACCACGCGATGACATCACCCAACCGGAGGTCCAGCCAGTCACGCGGCGGCCGCCCCTCCCCATTTCGGTTCATGCGTCCCGCAAACCGAGTTCCAAGACTCCCAGACATGGCCCACATCCAGGACCAACTCCGCCCCGGCCACGTACAGCGCCGGCACGCGCCGCACCCCGCCTCCCACCATCCGCAGCGCGTCCAGCACGGTGAAGCAGTCCACGGTGAGGAGTGGGTGTTGGGGGTCGCGGGCGTAGAGGAGGATGCGCGTGGAGGGGCGCAGAGCGTGCAGAATGGGCCCAGAGCGTGTAGGAGGGTGCCGTTAGGGGGTAGTCGAGCGCGCGCACACGCTAGCCGGTCCCGTCCTTCTTGATGAGCAGGGAGGTCGACAGCGCCGCGGCGTCCAGGATGGTGTTCCACGCTGGGCACACCACGCGCAGCCGGGTCAGCGTCCGTGTGTCCATCTGGGCCAACACGTGCGGTCACACGTCCACGCCCAGCGCACCAGCTGCATCCGGTGTGCCGCCTTCCAGCCGGGCCGTCATCTCACACAGGATGACCGGGAGGCGCTGGGTCAGCGCGCTGTGCAGTTCATCCACGATTTTCTGCAAATCCCAACGCAAAGAATTCGTACCGCAGAATCTTGCAGTAAAAGTCTGTCTTGGAAATAATGACCAACCTGTGCCGTATCCTGAGACTGTCCCAGCCCGCCGCCACCGTACAGGTCCACGACGTACTGCACCTGGCCATCCGCGACGTCGAAGCAGACCACCTGACCCTGAGCGTCCGTGTCCTGGCTTCCGTCGCCGTCCACGAGCGCCAGGTGCACCTCCTTCATCCGCTGCAGCTGTTCTGCGGAAGCCCCCCGCCAACCGGCGGGCAGCGGTCGAATGCGCTTGTCGCTTGACCACCAGCGCCACGTACCGTCCCGTCGCAGCAGCACTTCCACGGCCACGCTCTCCCAGTGGTATATACCCAGAAAGAAAAGGCATGCCAGGTTCTGCGCTGGGCGACAGAGCAGCTGCTGGAAGGGGATGCGCTCGCGTCGACGCCCGGCGCAGAGCAGATCGATGCCCAGCGCATCGTCGGCTACGTCCACCACGCGGCCATACAGCAGGAAGTTGTTGTCGCCCACGACGTTGATCTGGTTCTTCAAGATCGCAAACATGGCTGACTGGTAGGATTTCTGGACACAGTCTATGAGAAAGCGAAGCGGTTCAAGACAAACTAGTGACATTTGCAAGACTACTGGAGTACTTTCACCCACATCTACAAATACACACAGTCTTTCAAGGATTTTCAAAACTTTGCGCCGTCGTGGTGCAGTGGTACTGCCTACGCGTATCGTACGACGTAGACGGTCTTCGATTCCCCCCTCGGTGCAACTTTCACGATCTACTTCGGACGGCGCCCAGCTTAATTATACTGTGCCATGCAAGGACTTGTCAAGTTCCCTATTCCATCGGAGCGAATCTGAATATAGATTTAGAATCAGCGAATGTTTCTGATTTAGAAAACTATTGGAGAAACCCAAAAGAACCAGCAGTTCTCTTCCCCTTAACTGAGGTACCGTACCTTTCTCCAAAAGCTTGCCAGATCAGAAAACTGCGCTGATGCTAGACCCGCAATCAGATTTGCTCGAAAGCCTTCTTGTCCAATAGGGTGCTTGATAAGTCCTTGGCGCCGTGTACTACGAGTCTACGACAACGTGCTGAACGCTGTTGTGGTTACTGACTTACTAGTACTACACTTTATCTACATACTGCTACTGCCAGGTCTGGTCAAAGGCTCTTCGTACCTGTCTCAGCAGACTTAAAAACCTGCTACTTAGGACTCGGATTTGGAGAGTGGTGAATAAGTGGGGAATAATCAAGTTGCGACGGTGAAAACTGAAGAGTGAGACCACACTAGCAAAAAAAAACAGAAAGTCTGAAAGTTAATCAGAAAATCGACTGCCGACTCTGCAGTGCAGAGTGCAAGAGCTGAACGCCGAATCACGCTGCCGTATCGGGCGGTTGCAACTACGTCAAACACCGAAATTCGCCAACTCCTTCATACAGATGTCCTGGTAATGAGTGATTTTCGCTCCTCATACGAAACCCAGTGAGTGCAACTTTAACTAATTAGACTCCGTCACTTGTTCAGAATTTTACGGCAAGTTCGGTGATGTTTAATGGAGTAATGGACGATGAAAACTAGGATGAAAAGAGAGTTTTCATAACAGCAAGGGCGTCTCGCGACGGGCCTGGGTGTAACTGTGTAAGTAACGATGAATTATTGAATTTACGTACAGAATATTAATTTTACAACAAGATGACTACAATGGTCGTGCTTCTGCCAAATTTAATAACCGTAATGCACAGGAAAACGCTTAAAGGAAATGCATGCATCTTTACAGACTCTACTGAGTGTTTCTCGTTCTGTTTCGCATGCCGACCGCTTTCAGAAAACGGTTTCACGTTCCGTCCACCCACCATTTCACTTGCCTGAATGGACCCGCATAAAAACCAATTTTCACTACTACACAGTACACACTATACAGATAATTTCTAAGCAGTAAGAACGTTTATTTCAGAACCGAATGCAGCAAGGAGCAACAAACAAAGTTATTCCAATATTTATTCCATTCCATTAATTTATTCCATTGATTTATTACATTGATTTATTCCATTATTTACCATAAAACCAAAGCAGCCGCAGACAAGCAGAAATACGCCAGTGCAAGGACCGATTGTGCCGTGTTTAAGAGCATTCCTATTTCGTCGGTATCCTTGGTAACAGCAGAACTGTAGACTGTACCCCCAAGGGGTCTATTGGCTACTCGTCTTCGGAATTGTCACTGGATTCCAAAAATCCATGGTCATCAGACCAGCATCCACACTCATCGCAGGGATTACTGCACTCCTCGCATTGCCTCACGTAAAATCCACTGATCCTCATGAAGGCCGACAAGGTGGACAGGCAGAATTTGTTCAGTTTGCGCACGTCCACTGCAGCCACATTGGACAACGTCCACTTGTGTCCGCGATAATGCGCGGACACTCGCGGATCACAGGCTTGATATTCCTTCAAAATCTGCAGAATTGAACGAATTCGCAATTTAACGCACCAATACGACTATACGCAGGTAACACAGCATTATTACCACAACATTACGAAAGTGACGCAGGCAAGAAGAAGAAGCCAATACAAAGCGAAGTGGAATTACGTAAAGTTACTCACTCTTTTCACTCCTTCTGCTTTAGCAGGCCTGTTAGTCAGATTGGCTATAAAGTGGGCAATACGCTGAGTGTCTATAGGCTCTCCATCAGAATACATGTGCTTCTCGAACAAATCCCAAATCTGTGCCTCACTGATGTTGTCTCGTGTGAAAACAGCAAATGGAATGCGGAATTTCATGAAAACCGTTGGGCCCTGGTCTTCACAGTCCAACGAATAATCTGCCCAAATCAAGCGGTCACAACGCGTTGCCAGCTGGGAATACAGCGCCACCAGATCAGCAAACAGCATGCGCAAGTCAAAGACGCTATCCCGATAAATCTGGATCGCTAGTGATCGCCGGGGCTCGATCAAAAGGGGAACGCGAAGGCCGACGCGGTCCAGGATGTTCTTGACCAACCCAACTGCGGCATGGGCTGTGCTCAAATCTTCCGGTTCAGTACAGAATCTTCCTGTTGAATGAATGCAAATTGTACGCGTGGCTGCAGTGATATACTTAAAGAGACAAGCGGACACCACGTAGTCGCATTCGCGGCCCCGGTTCCAATGGTCATTAAGGGGCAAACCGAAGTCGCGTCGCGAGATGCGGATATCTTTGCATAAATCCGCAGCAGTCAGAAGTGTTTCCCATAGTTGGCAGGTTCGACGGCAGCGCTGCCGGTCCACGGTATCCAGCATCAGGAAGATTTCTTTCAGCAGCTCCAAAGGCAACCGCAACTTGCTTCCATCAGCACGGAATTTCTTCTTGTGTGGTGGCTCATTCGACACCGCTTCCACATCATCAGAACGTTTATCATCGTGAACGTCACGGGATGAGACTTTGCTACGGCCCAGTCCCTGCCTTTTACGCGCGAATGCTTTCGCCTAAAGGTAGAACAATGAGAACTGATTTCTGACGGTACCTGCAGAAACTGCAGCTCTCGAATACCTGCCTCCACAGTACCTGAATACTTCGAGTTTTTCGCATTGGACACTTACAATACCGACCGGCCGCCAGAGACACGGTATTCTCTAGGTTGTTCTACATTAGCGAACTCGCGAGGTTTTTATTATGCTCGTGCACAAGCGTATAAAAAAACATTAATTATTAGTACGTGGATTTTTCTCATATGTCTTATATTGTATCATATATAGTTTGATTATTTGATCAACTCGTGTTACCATTTCCTGGAATACTTCTTTCGACAACGGCCAACGGATCTGAGAGCAGGGAACCAGTTCGCAGCAACGGTATTCGGCCCGCGTCACTTCCACCAAGGCGTAGCCTTGTAGGCTTCCTTTCTCGAACGAGTGGAGAACTTTTCCGGGATACCATGTCCAAGGGCGATCTTGATGGTCGCGTAACAGGGCCAGCACCTCCATGCCAGCTCCTACGCTTATACCACCGGGATGGCTATCAGTTACCGTGCCGTACTCAACCAGGACCGATCGCTGTGCCGGGCAACGGAAATCCACGATAAGACACGGCGTCGTGCTGCCATTCCTCTCCATGCCGAAAAGCCCGCGTTGCAGCCGACCGTCAATCTCGACATCCACGGCATTCCACCAATACAGTAACGACCGTTCGCATATTTGCATTCTGATTTGGTCAAAGGAAAGGCCGAAAGATAAGCCCGTCCAAAGGTGAGCACGTTATCTGTAATTGAGCAAAATTATCCAGAATGACAGACGGGAAATGCGTTTCCTGTCGTCACCAACGAATGCAGTACACCAAACTACGTCACAAATTGCCCATAGGGTCCGCCAAGAAGTTTTGCTCACCCACAATTTAAAGGAAGCAGACAAGCCACCAGATACTGAATGTGCGAGAAAGAATCTTAAGCGGTCAAATCGAGAGGAGAATACTAGAAATAGACATCAAAATCATGGAGATCGAAAGTACCTGAGTTCGTGCTCGAGCGAGATCTGCAAACATCACTACCGAACGGATTTTTAATTCGGCGTAGAACCCATTCAAGCACTGACATGTCGTGCTCGTAAAACAGGTGACTGCTGCTCCATGGGCGCATGTCCACGGAGCATTGAACTGATCACAGACTGACATCTACGACAGAAAGTACGCCAGAGACCGGCTCAAGTTCGTATGATTATGTGGAATAGTATCGCTTTATTCGTGAATCGTAAGTCGACAAAATAGCATTTAATTTTGCTGACACTGTTTGTCAGCAACAATACGAACAGCGTCGCTAGGGATAAGCGCGCGTCTGTAGCCGGCAGAAAGGTGAACGGGTGGATGGTGGATGTTCAATGAAATCGCATCTACCAATCTACCGACCTTCGGCAGATTGGTGGATGAGCCGTCCACCTTTCTGTCGGAGCAGTGTACGCATGCATTGATCTTACAATGGTCCTAAAAGCGCTCAATAGCGTCATGGTCAGAATTCAATCCCGATCCATCCAATCTGACTCCAAACATCCATCCAATCTGATTTTTGGCCTGCCGGCTTGTAATTTGGCCTGCCGGCCTGGGGGTGATTTTTGGCCTGCCGGCTTGGTGCTTGAGTGGTCTCGTGTGAAAACGATTCAGCAGCGTAGAATTTCGGCACATGCAGTACTGGAAGTCTGGAATAGCAGAGTGTGGAATACTTTTTATTTCTTTTAATTTGGCCAGATTGCGGTGCAGATGTTGCGCGCTGAAACCGTTTTCTGGTTCACTCACAAGAATGGACATTTGGCTACACGAACAAAATACGATAATACGATAGTATGAGAAAATGACATTTTTTTATTTTTCGGCGCCAGTATACCGCACGATCATCCTTAACCTCATACACTGCAAATTTGCAGCGACTGTTAAAAATTTCGCTGTTTCGATTCGATAATTCAAGCATCGAACTGCGACTTGGATTTCTCAAACACAAAATATCATAATTATACTGGCGCAACTCCACTTTCCAAACCGGTACTGGAAGCCCCACCCAATGTCGCCGCATATCGACGTTTCGCAAAGAATAAGACGAAGAGGTCAAAATGCTACTTATGTAGGTACTATGTCGATGTTTTGCACTTTTGTATTATGTGGATAGGTTATGTTGATGTGGCTGTGTGTAATGCTATGAATTTGGAATAATGCTAATTGCTAAGCATTATACAACTGGATGCAATTTGTATATCCTTGGCACTATTCCAGATCTGACAATTTGTGTAAATGCTGAGCATTATACCAAACAGCGTTTTCAGAATAATGCTGAAATACATACCAAAGTTTTTTTCAGATTTTTTTTATCTAATTGAATTGAGGTTGAAGTACCGAATAATAAACTGTACATAAAGATCAATGTCGAAGCGCCGTTGGATTTTCGTGTCCTTCAAAACTTTCTACATTGTCAAAACGCTGGAAAATGTTCTGCCGACGTTATAATGCCTACAGGAAGAAAGCCGGTGAAATTTCGACGTTGACCGTTAGTAGTACCGTGACGGAACAGCGAAAAATGTAAATTCATGGGTTGCGCCGTAACCCATGAATTTGAAATGTAAATTCATGGGTTACGCCGTAACCCATGAATTTACATTTTTCGCTGTTCTATATCGTACTCATCATCCGGACGGGCTTGTACACTCAATCAGCAGAAAATAGTCTCGGGAGGTCAGAGAACAGAGAACAACTGATCCAAATCCGTTCCCGGTGGAGCTGATCCTGAACGGAGGCCGCGTTCCCGCGCTGGATTTGTCTGCTGTTAGGCGTGTCTATGTTTCTATGCATAGAATAATATTTCTGTTTGATCATCTTGCTGTTGTCTTCTTGAGTTGCACATCAAGAAATAAAGTTGCCAGCTGAGTCGCTGATCTGTACAGGCATTTGCAAATGTTGTCGAGTGCGAAGTTCAGTACAGTAATAATTTTGTAAACCTTGTCGCTATACATCACGTACGGACATTGGCTCAATTAATAATAATACTCGTATGTAATTTATTGTGCAGCTATGCAGATGGCAGAATTTTAAGTATGGAATCTTCGAATGCCGGAAGGCGGGAATTACGGTATATAGGAAGACGTATTGCTAAAATTAGATTCCTTAATTAAAGTATTGAACATGACGGAGCAGTCAGTGCTTGCCAAAATATTAATACTTATATGCGATTTCTGTGTTTCATCTTTCAAGCAAAACCCATGCACAGGTACTGTCCACGTGTTAGACGGGGCTTATGAAAACTGCAATTCTTAATCAGCTAAACGCGGTATTCGTTTAATTTGTAAGCAGAAGTTGCAGAACCAAGCGCTGAAAAAAGCAAATTAGCTCACAATTATTCCATTTTTTACTATACAACCAAAGCAAAGACAGACAAGCAAAGTATACGAGTGCAAGGAACGATTCTGCCGTTGTTAAACTCGATGCTCGACGGAATAGGAATACTTATACACGGGAAGTTACTGAACTATAGACTGGCGAGTAACTCGCCAAGCGGGCTGTTGGCTAATCGTCCTCGGAGCTGTAACTGGAGTCATCGCTTTCATCGCTGCTAAACCATTCATAATATTTCATGTAGCTTGACAAGGCAAACAGGCAGAATTCGTTGAGCTTGCGCACGTCCACTTCAGCCACACTGGACAACGTCCACTGGTGTCTGCGATAATGAGCGGACGCGCGCGGGTCGCATGCTTGATAATCCTCCAAATAGAATAACGAGAGTAGGATTTACAGTTTAACGCACCAATATAGCGGGAAACAGAAAACAAGACAGAACGGCATCGAATTCGATAACGTACGCAACAACCACAGATTTATTTGTAGAAGAAGTCAATACAGTGGTGGTTTAGTAAAAACTAATAAGTAACAACCCCAAGCACCCACGATCATAGTATTCGTATAATTACAAACTGGTATTGCAATTCACAGGTTACACGCAACTCCAGAGTCGGTCGGTCTAAAGTGTGTCTTATCAATATAAATTATAAACGAATAACTTTTTTCCCTTGTAATTTTCTTGGGTATTGAGAGGCGTGATTTGTGACTGGGCGGACGTACTATGGTGGCAATCGTTCACAGCGCATACTTCGCGCGAAACATCCGTACTTCGACTGAAACCGTCACTGGATCAGTGCTACCAAGCTACCATACGGTGGATCACTGAGCACCAGAGCTGGCCCGATAAGTCATCGGAGGCCTCCGCTATGTACGATAACTCCGATGTTTTCATCGGAAAAAGCGGTATCGGAAAAGTTTTATATCAGATCGGAAAAATTGCTTATCGGGCGGAGCGGCAAAATCTATAGCGTAGCGGCAGACAATATCGACAATCCCAGTCCTCTACCTATAGTAAGTTCTGGCTGCACCGTAAAGTATAAGTGATCCAATGACGGTTTCAATCGAAGTGTACATGTATCTAGGGTTGCCATCCCACCAAGGTTTTGGAGGTGGGATGTGACTGGAATGTGAACAGGAAGTGATGTGATTGGTGGGATAGATTATTAATAATTATTTATTTATTTATTTCTGACATATTTTTCACAACGAAAAATTCGAAATTTTATGCGAACTGTTTTCAACAAAGATGCCTTTCAAAAGAGTCGAAAAAACCGAAGCAACTAGTTTAACTACAACAAGTTGACATCAGTTCAAAGCCAAAACTTGCATACGAGCTTTTATGGTTCTCGCAGTTTTGCAGCAGTTCGCAAGTACTAGAAAGCCGTTGGGAGATTACGTCAAGTATGTTTTCATCATCTTCCACAACAGTCACTCAGCATCCCAATCTCCGGCCATTTTGGCAGATAATTTACAAACTCTACTGCCAAAGCACGACGACGGTATAAAATTGCTACAAGTTTTTGCGAATATTTTTAAAATAAATCAAACCAAACCAGAGGCGAACCAAGTCACTCATAGTATGCTTGTGCAACTTTTCGCATTTCTCGATTCTAAACTGCTCTATCACAGAATTTGTTAAAAATGTTGTTAAAAATGTCTGCACTGCCGACGCGCTATAATTTAGGTAACCGGATTTTGACCTTTCATTTTTAACAATAAAAATTCATCCCATCACATCACCGTCCCATCACTCATCACATTTTTTTATCACCCCCTCAAATGTTCGGCACGATGGGATTGTGAGCAGGAAAACGGCGTGATTGTGAAACTGCGTGACGACGTGATGACAACCCTACATGTATCCGTATTCTGTACCTTTAGGCTTTATGTTAGAAATGCTGGAACCAGCTTATACAGTTACTCACTCTTTTCACTCCTTTTGCTTTCCCAGAACTGTCCGTCGAATTCGCTATAAAGTGGGCAATACGCTGCGTATCGCATCTCCCCTTATCACACAAATGCTTCTCGAACAGGTCCCAAATTTGTGCCTCATCGATATTGTCTGCTGTGAAGGCAGTAACGGGAATGCGGAATTTCATTACTACCTCTTCGTCGTAGTCTTGACAGTCCAGTGAATAATTTGCCCAAATCACACGGTCACAGCGCGACGCCAGCTGGGAATTCAGCGCTACCAGATCAGCAAACAGCCAGTGCAAGTTAAAAGGACTCCAGTACAGCGGGATGGCTAGTGATCGGCGATGCTCTATCAAACGAGGAACGCGAAGGCCGGCGCTGTCCAGGATGGTCTTAACCAATCTTACGGTTTCATGAGCGAAAGTCCAATTTTCCCGTAATTTACAGAAGGTGTTCCCTGGATGGATGCTAATTGTGCGCGTAAGTCCCGTGACATACTATACTTGCAGACACAAGCGCACACCACGTATGCAAATTTGACCGAATCCAATTCGCAGATCGAAAAAGACCGAAGACCGAAGTCGTCTCGTGAGATGCGGACATCTTGGCACAAATCCACAGACGTCAGAAGCGTCTCCCACAGTTGGCAGGTGCGACGACAGCGCTGCCGATCAACGGTGTCCAGCGACAGGAAGATTTCTTTCTGCAGCTCCAATGGCAACCTAAACCTGTGTGAGCGGGGGTTCACTAGCGTTCACGCTCGTGACGCTACTCGCCACTGGATTACGTGTCTGTGTTGTGTCTCGCCTTTGATTGGCTTATGTTTTGTTAGTGGGCGCGGCATAGCACGTGCTGCACAGTGTTACACAGTGTGGAATTGGCTCCACGTTTTACGATCGAGCTGCGCCGATCATTATTGATTTTCTGTTGTCGGAATTCTCAATATTATAAAAAGTCAGCAATTAGCGGTGCGACGTTTCGTGATTCCGCGTAGTTCGCAATCCAGATCGCATTGCTCACTTCCACGGGATCTATTCCGTTTAGGTCTCCGTATCTGGATCACAGTTGGATCTAGCTTTAGATGGTAGCAGAGCCGACAGCGGTTCTCTGATTTGAGTTGACTGATCTGATTTGACTTTGTCAGGCAAATCTGGCCTGTTATTTGACTTGTTTACCGTGACCAGTAAGGCAAAGGTCTGTCCTACAGCAAAGCGCAACACCACAAGCGGTGCAATTCCTCCATCGGACGCGGATTACCAGCTTTGGTTTTCGGTACAGCGTCTTCAGCGAAGACCTGTGCTGTTTCCTCAGCTGTGAAAGAGTGCAAGAGTTCAGTCGCCAGTGTTCCTCGGTGTAGAGTCTTCAGCGAAGACCTACACTGGTGTCACTGGTACTCGGCAAGGATTCAGCGAATCCTAAGCCGTGGGGCAGAAGCGCCGAAACGCCGAAGGGGGCGCACGGAAAAGACCAGATCAGACTCCTCCAAACTGGAGTAGAGCGTAAAACTACTGCTGCTACGGCACAGCCGGCACAGTAGCCTATTAATAGCGCGAGGCACGCTACGGAACAGCGGCGACGCGGGAACGGATAGTGGAAGAAGAATCTGGATCATCTGGATCATTTCCCCGTGGAACGCGGAACGGACGGACGGTTAACAGGTAGAAAACCGTTATTAATTACGGGATTGGCTAGTTGGTAAAATTGGCAATTCTTATTGGTCCGTACTGAGCTGAGCGTAAAAGTAGGCGGGGTTTTGCACACGATACGCACGTCTGGCCGTTGACCGTGACGTCAGGCTTATATAAATTTAAATGGACTAACGTGATTGGTCAGTTATCTGAGCTGTAATTGGCTGAAATTTGAACTGAATAATTTGAGCTAGCGGACCAATCAGAACAAAGTAAACAACCCGAATGGGGATTTTCCGTTGAACTTGAGCGATAATGGGAAATTCGATTTGAGATGAGATAAGGGAGACGGAAAGTGACCTTTTGAGTTAAGATAAAGGAAAAGTGACCTTTGATCAAAATTGAGCTAGAAAGTGACCTTTGATAGAATTGAGCTGGAAATTGACCTTTAACTCGAATTGAGCTGGAAAATGACCTTTTAACATAAATTGTGTCGGAAAGTGACCTTTGAGACCAGAAGTTGACCTTTGACTTTGAAAAGTGACCTTTATCAAAAAAGTTGGAATTGACCAAATTGACCTATTTAAGTGACCTTTATGATCTGAAACTGACGAACGGTGACCTTTATCGAAGTGAAATTGAACTGAATAGTGGTACAGCGATATTTGCAGCTGTAGGATTTCATTCGCTAACGTGTTTCAAACTGTAAAAGCTGTTTCGAAGTTTTGTCCGAAAGTGACCTTTTAGGGCAAACCTCTCGAACTTTTTATCAAAAAAGGGACCTTTAAACGGGACTTAGTCGAAATTTTTCAGCCGAAAAGTGACCTTTAATAAGGACTTAGAAAAATTTCGGAGGTACAGAGTGACCTTTAGGATCATTGAATAAACCATACAATAACGTGTGTGTGAGAACAATTGGCAGGAGCGTCCAAGTTATCCGATCAACATGGACAAAGAAGAACCGACATCCACCAGCAGTCAGGGAAGCAGGAGCTCCCGAGGATCACAACAAGGCACAGTCGATCCTTATAAGAAGGAATATAAGTCGCTCGCGCGTCCAGTCGGACATGACAGACAGACCCGAGCGGCTGTGACCTTTGCAAGAAAAGACAGCAAAGGCAGCGACAACACATACGAAGTGGCGCTCGGAGCAATACAGAACGAAGAGAGCTCCAGTGGCGACGGAAAGGAAACTCCCGCGTCTGCGGCGGGAGGCAATCCGATAAACCAGATAAAGGTCACCGGGGAGGAAAAGCCCACAGAAAGAGGAGCGGAACCGGTTGGAGCATCACAGTTGGATGCTACCATCAGCGGAACGAATGAGCAGGATAAAAATGTGAACCTGACTCGATCGGAAACGGAAAAGACAAAGGTCACCGAAGAGGAATTTGCTGAACTGGGACTGAGTGACCTTTCATTGAATGACAAAGCGGCAGACGATGACCTTTGGGCTACTCCAATGGTGTCAGATGAATCAAATGAATCATATTTTACGGACGATGAAACGACGATGAATATGTCCTTCCAATCTGCGATGAGACAAGCTGACCGCGCTGAAGGGATGACACCTTTCAAAGAAATACCAGAGCATCTCATTGAACGGACGCAAACTGGAAAGGTCATAAATGTACGACCACCTTCACCGATTAGCCCTACACTGACTTTGAGGAGACGTGTTCAAGACTTGGAAAGTGAACTCGACACCAAGGACGGTCAGATGGCTAAAAGAAAGCAGGAATACCAAGAGAGACTGGTATCGCTCGAGACCCGACTATTTGAAATGGAACAACAACGGGGTTATCTGGAGAGCACGGCAGAAGAATGGAAGGTCAAATACGAAAAACAAAAGGAAATGGCAGAGGAATACCTGAAAATGGTAGATGACAGAGAAATGGAAGGTCACCTTGCAGTCAGTGACCTTAATGAGAGCATGTCCGAAGAAACAGCGGAAAGGTCACGGCACTTAGCCGAACTGAAAGACGAATGTGACTCACTGAAACTAAAGGTCACTGAAGCGGAAGCTAAGAGAGACGAATACGCGGCCAAACTCATTGACGCGACTCAACGGTTGTTGACAAATACCAACGAGGTGTTTAAGCTCAGAAACGAACTGAAGCTGCGCGACGAGAGTATCAGAACCCTCCAGAAGGAATCACAGGATCATCAGAGAAGAGCCGACGACGCCGTCAAAGTGGCTAAGGACCTGCGTGAACTCACAGCCACCGAAGGCGCACGGTTGAGCAATGAAATCAGACAGGTCATGGAAGAGAACCAGGCGTTGAAGGAGGATAACAGAAAGGTCACCGAAGAGAATACCGAGCTGAAAGGAACCACTAAGACATCTACCGAACAGGGCAGGAGGTGGAAACATGAGGCACACCTCCTGGATGAAAAGGTCACGGTGCTCGAACTGAAAGATAAAGAATGGCAACAAACGGTCCATCAGAAGTCACAGGAGATCATCAGACTCAACACGGAGTTGATTGATATGACCCAAACGGCAATGATGAGAGAAGACGAGGTCACCCACACAAAGAACCAGCTGAAAGCGGCAGCTGAAGAATATACGAAATTAAAAGAGATGTTACCCAGTTGGCGGAACACATCAGGAGGGTGGAAAATGATACGGAGAAGGTGATCCAGGAGAAAACAATCCAACTCCACCAGAACATGTTAAAGGTCAACCAAGAGAACCAAAATCTGAAGAACGAGAAAGAGCAATTTGACTTAAAAATCAGGCGCCTCGAAGATGAGAATAAGGCGCTTGTTATGTCCAACAAGCACAAAGACGAACAGCTTCTGCAATATGGAGTCAGGACTACAACAGTGGAGTCGCCCCCGCCCAGTTACAGCAAGGCGCATGAAACGGGCACGGGCAAAAGCTTCCACTTCGACATGCCGCTACGAACTGGTACTGGCAGAGGAAGCGTCAAAAACGAAAAGGACGGGGAAAAGGTCAAAGATGACAAAGAGCCACCATCGGAAAGTTATTCACTTACGAATCAAGGTGACCCTTCCCAATTTCCTCCACATATCGAAACAAAAATTTTCATCGACGAAAGGAAACAGGATAGACCGTCTAGCCGTCAAGAACGGGATAGACCGCCTAGCCGTCAAGAACGCCCAAGGAAGTCCCGCTACGCAAAGGCGAAGCGAAACCAGGAAGATGACGACAGTGATTCTAGTGCAGTAGAAGATCAAGATCCAACACAAAAATTGGTAAATGCACTCAATTCGATGGCACGGAAAACGACATTGGTGACCTTTGACGGAAGTCGCGACGCAGTGAATGGTTGGACACAACTGGTCAGGGATACCCAACGAACGTATCACCTCACCGACGACCAGATCTTAATCGAGATAGCCAGCGCAGTGAAAGGACCAGCGAAAACCTGGTTCGAAGGAGAGAGAGAGATCGCACTCCAGGAGGAAACAGAATATACAATTACAGAATGGATGGCCAAATTCAAAGATGAATATGGAGATCGGGATGAAGAAGTCCTCGGATTACGAGAAGCCATGGCAAGAAAATTTGACCTTGGAAAAGAATCGCTTGATCAATTCTATCAAGCGATTATGAAATACAAGGCGAAGAGGATCATAACTGAAAAGCAGGCAGTCGGTTTCCTGATCGAAGGATGTAGAGTGGACGGTGACCTTTATAAGGCACTACGCACACAACAGTGCAGGACTCCAACCGAGATTAAAGATTTCTTCCGTCATTGGTCAGCGGGAGAAGAGAAATATAAAGCGCCCAAAGGTCAACGCAGCCAAGATTATGTGACGATCCGGACAGGTCAAGTTGAGATGTTGCCACAGCAAAGAGCGGCAGTTGCACCGGTTCAACAGCCAGTTGAGTATCGCAGAGAGGCACCGGTCCAAGAGGCCACAAAGGAGGTGACCTTTATCGACAGTCAGACTGGGCAACCGTTGACGTACGCAATGGTGGCGGCGATACAGGCGGCAGCTCAAGTGAGACCGGTACCTCAGAATGTGGCCCCACCAGCCCCACAGAACGTGGCCCCTATCAATGTTGGGTTACCACAACAAGGAGTGGGTAACGGAAATTTCGGTGGAAACGGATATGGAAATGGAAATTGGAACGGAGGTCAAGGAAACTTCCAGAATCAGGGTCAAGGTCAAGGTTACTATCAGCCAAACAGAGGAAACCAGAACAACAACCAGCAAAATCAAGGGTCACGAACCGAATTTAAGTTCCAGATGATTGATGGATGGGTGGCAAACAACGCGCAGATGTGCCAGTACTGTATGTATGGCAATCACCAGACCCAGGGATGCAAATTCGCCAACACACCACCGGAACAGAACCCGAACCTGTTCGCCTTTAACGAGTGGCAACGATTGCGCGGACTTGGTGGTTGGCGCCAAGCGATCGCAAATGGATATGACCTTATCGCCCAATGGTACCAGCACAAAGCAAACTTCCAAAACCAACAAGGGAATGGAAACGGCAACTATGGAAATGGAAATGGCGGTGGCCAAGGCGGCGGCTATCGCGGCGGTGGCTTCGGCCGTGGCGGCTTCAGAGGAAGAAACAGAGGCTTTGGCCGCGGCAATTTTAGAGGAGGCCAGAACAATGGAGGCGGCCAAGGAAACTACCAACAGGGTGGTGGCCAGCAAAACGGAGGTGGCCCGGTGAATGAACAAGTTCAAGGAAATGTGCAAGGGAATGTGCAAGGCGTACAACAAGGTGGGGCGCCGGTTCAGGGAAACGGGCAAGATCAGTAGGCACCGGTGAGCCTACTGATCGACCCGACCCTAAACCACCGGATAAAAAGGGAACGGAAAGGTCACCACTGCAGAATGGTACTGCAGTGAACGTGACCACTGCAACGGCTATATGGATGCCGTCAGCGAAAAAGCAAAATGGACTGGCTATATGGATGCCGCAACCACAAGAAACGGCTAGATGGATGCCGCCACAGCAAATAGAAACGGCTATATGGATGCCGTCATCGCAAAAAGAAATTGGAACGGTTATAAGGATACCGTCACAGAACCAAAAGTCACCGCAGAATGGTACTGCGAGTGGAAACGTTCAAGTGGATAAAAGATCACCGCAGAATGGCACTGCGAGTGGAAACGTTCAAGTGGACAAAAGGTCACCGCAGAATGGTACTGCGAGTGGAAACGTTCAAGTGGACAAAAGGTCACCGCAGAATGGCACTGCGAGTGGAAATGTTCAAGTGGATAAAAGGTCACCGCAGAATGGTACTGCGAGTGGAAATTGTCGTGACGGTAGCGCGACACTGCAAAAAGTGCAGCAAAACGAAAGGTCACCGTACTGCAGCGAAGAAGTGCTAGCACAACGACGCGCACAACGGAATGCAAAGATTAAACAGGCGCTGCTGAATCAGAACAAACCGCAGAACGATACTGCGCAAGAAGAAAATGAGCAGCATGCGAAATTCCGAAAATTTTTGGCAGAAAATGACAAAGCGAATGAACCAAGTTGCGAATGTTACGGAGAGATAAAGCCAAAGTTTTGGAACTGTTCAGAAGACGAAGAAGAGAAGCTGGCAAGGCAAGAATGGATTAAGCAGAATATCACCGTTAGTAGTAAAGATGAAAGGTCACCTTCCGTTGGAAAAGTTCAAGTGAAAGGTCGCGGAGCAGATGCGAACGCTAAAGGTCACGGTGAAAGTGCCGTGTTAAAAGGTCAAGAAACAGACTTGACACTGCGAACAGCGCAGCAGAAGAATAGCGAACCGGCACAACAGGACTCCGAAGACTCACTTGTTGATGCAGTAACTCTGCAACAGAAGGAAAATGGCAAAAAGTGGCCTACAGACCGAATGGCAATCACGGGATGTGGATACCTGTGACGCCAAAAGCAAAGCAGAAAGCGAGAATGTCACAGGAGGATTACTGGGACATGCAACAGTTGCGAACGCAATGTGAAAGAAAGCGATTAGAAGAGTTGGTTACCGGGAAACCAACCCAAGGGTCACCGAACCCAGTCCCAGCATTCAACGCAGAGGAATATAAGAAGACATGCGCTGACTGGAATTATTCACGTAATGCTCCGCCACAGGATAAACCGCCGAATTATGGAGAAAAAGTCCCCATACAAAAGCTGACAAACGGCGGATTTGTCATGAAGCGCAACGAAAGGTCACAGGACTTAGCGCAAAATGAACAAAAAGGACGGTCAAATGAGATGACGCAAACGCAACAGAATAACGCAGTCGAAAGGTCACGGGACTTATCACAAGCACTGCATAAGGATGCAAACGATAAGTCACCAGCCCGAACAGACGGAATGTCGTCACAAATTGATCAGACGAAAACGAACAATGAAGTGTCCGCGAAGGTGATCGAATGGATGACCGAAAAGGGATATGATATGATTACATATGAAAGGTCACCAGATGAGATGAAAGATAGCGAAGAAGACGAATTGAAGCGAGCGGAGCAAATAACAAGTGAAGTCATGGAGAAGCTGCGAGATAAGCGAAATGAAAACCGTAAAGAAGAGTTGATTCATCAGACGATAAACGAAGTGACAAAAAGTCACACAGCTGGCACAAAAGCAAACGAGCAAGTGCAGAACGCTGAAAAGGTCACCAGTGGTAAAACCGCTGTGGAGAAGCAAGCCGACAAGACAAAACCGCGAAAATTTTACGATGTTCGAACTAACGTTCCACACAGAATCGATAAGCTGAGCGAAATACTGTAAGGTCACAGCACTCCAGCTAAAGGGCAAGTGCTTCCCGATATGGATCCAGGACCAGTATCGCTCATTCCCGTGAAATGTAAGATTCATACATTGAAGATTCAAAACGGGAAATTGCCCAAAAGAATTGAAGCGTATACACACGAAGTGAAAGTGGGAGACATAAAGGTCAACGCAATGTTGGACACCGGCGCTGAGACGTCGCTGATCAGCAAACCGTTTTGTGAGAAGAATGGACTTCACATGCTCCCATTGCCACCAGACAGATTGGTGAAAATAAACGGAATTAGTGGAACGTCAGGATTCCTGGTGACGCATTACTGTGTAGCACCAGTGACCTTAAGGAAGAAGACAAGCGAACATTCATTCTACGTCCGACCGAAGTGTGACGACGTACAAGTGTTATTGGGATTTGACTTCTTGGAAAAGAAATTCGTATTGATGGACAATGAAGGTGAAGAAGAAAAGGAAGATGACCCGAAACCAGTTGCCAAAGTACAAGTCGGAAAGGTCACCGAACTTGAAAAACAGGAAAACGTTCCAACTGCTAATAAAACGCTAATCCCAGTACCAGAGGCACCGGGAAACGTAAAGAAAAAGATGACGCAAAAAGAATTGTCACCATTTGGGCAGTTGCAAATGATTCGGCAAGAGATCGAAAACACGTTAAACCGGACAATGCTGACAAAAAAGGGAAGAGAAAAGGTCATCCCAGTACCAGAGGCACCGGGAATGACAAAAGTGCAGCAGGAAGAAATTATCCCAGTACCAGAGGCACTGGAAACGATAAACGAAAATGGAAAAGTTATCCCAGTACCAGAGGCACTGGGAAAGGAAGACGAAAGGTTACCAGCGACTGGGAACTTGGAACCAGAGCGTACCTCGAACCTTTTCGAACCACGATCTGCTACCCAAAATGAAAGGTCACCAGATGAAGCTAAAGAAGAAGTAACAGAACGTGACCCTCAAAAGGAACCCTTTTTCGAACCACACTCTGCTATCAATGACGAAAGGTCAAAAACACTTGAAGAAATAGCTGCCACACAGAAAGAAGCGACAGCTGCGGCGAAACAATCGCTCGTGCCGGGCAGGGAGTGGGCAACGCCTATCCCAGTACCAGAGGCACTGGGAATAAAGACAGCTAAAGTATGGAA